AAAAATATCACTTATACTCCATTGGATGTTGCAAAGAAGAAGGCTCCAAGAGGAATAAATAAGATGGCAACAATGTAGAAGTAGGGACATATATTACTGGCTGTAAGAATTGGCTGCCATGCCCACAACTTTTGCTGATAAAACCCTGATCCTGTAGAGAAACAGTTATTGAAACCAAAGTTGCACACACCCTTGGGCCTCTTAGAAATAGGAACATCTCCGTCCACAACTTCCGCCGACATCTAGAGGTAAGACAGAGAACACAGAATAGTCTAACAAGCATTCAACGAATCAAACAGTTCAGTCAGTTTAATACTACTAGCCTAAAATTCGAAAAGCATCTTTTTAAGAGGTAATAAGGAATTACTCCATACAGTATTAGACAATGCAATTTTTACAATCGAGACAATGAGTTGGTCTTGCGTATCAAAATAATAAAATAAACTGAAATTAATAGCCTATAGCAGCCACAAAATACCGTTGATTAATGAGGATAATGTAAAGTGAGTAAATTTACAACCTAACAGAAATGGTAGGCATAAAACTTCGACAAAACCCAAAAGTTAGTCAAAAAATGGCCCAAATTAATCACTGCTCCGATCAAAATTGGAGGTCGACGTAGCAAAAATCTATGTTCACAATGCTGCCACTGTCCTGACACTTCTTTGGCGATGCAATTTAAGTCGTTTTATGAATACGATCCAGCTTCGTCTTCTTAAAGACTTGGCCAAACTCTTTAATACTTATTCATCATGTTTTTTATCACTTATCCCTACAGTTCAGCCTCTTCGATGTGGAATTAGCCGTTGGCAAAGAATTTGCGATCTAAGTTACGCCACCCTCCCAAAGATCCTTCCTATTCCTGACTATTTATTATTGTTATCTAGAGCTGGATCAGTGTATAATTTGCAGTACTGGAAATATTTATGAATTCTATTGAAATGAACACTGCTTTTAGTATCGGAAACAGAATAGACGTTATTTGGCATCTGTTTTTTTTTCGATAGCCGATATAATACATTTGTGCTCGTCCTTGGTGTTTGGGGTCAACATGGTATTGATGACTTCTGGTGTTCCACTTTCTTGGTCTGAAACCAAGAAGTACGCTCCCTTTGTCCGTAGAGAAGGAATAAGGCAGTTTATTCGTCAGTATCATAAGCTTTCCAAGTCGACCGGCGCGGCTTTGTATTTTGGTGATGAGATTGAATACACCTTAGTCCACATCGATCCCAAAACAAAGGCTGCTCGGGTCTTGCTGATAGCTTCAGAGCTTATTCCTTATATGCAGTGGGAAGAAAATAAGTTGCCACCGTAAGATCTCGTGATTTGTGCATGCGTATGAAATTTACTGAGCTGAATGTTTACCTCTACATCTTGAAATAGCCCTCTGCGGTAGGTATGATTTACGCTAGGCTTGGAACTTTTGTGTGCCTAAGCGATTCTCCACGTTCGTGTGGCAAGGTCATAGGTTTGGGTGGATATACAACCAGGTTGATTGTGGAGTCCCCTATGGCATTCCATTTTAACTGCCGATTCGATTCCTAATTCGGTCCTTTTTGTTGATAGTGGAAGTCAGATTGACGTGTTATGGAGACCTGAGTATGCAGCATATATGATTGAAGGGACACCAGGGAAACCATTTGGCCATCTACCAGAATACATGAATACAGTTGAGTTCAACATGCAAAAGCGTCGTGAACAGGTTCAGAAACGCCTACCAGAAAACTGCTATATTATGTGCTTGTCAGCCTTTCCTAGGTTTGCCATTTTTGCTTTGTTTCAACCGTGATGCACTTTTGATGTGTACTCATTTTTTCTTGGGTTATTTTGTTTTTGGGTCGTAGATACCATTATTAATGCTTGCAGCATAATCTTGAACTTCATGGTCTTCATGTGATCCATTTTTATCAATGCGGTCTGGTTCATTTCCTCAGACTTGGTTGTCCTGATTTCACATTTCCGCCTGCTCGTCCGACGCCCACAAAAGGAGCCTCTCAAAGCTTATTTTATCCAGATGAAGCAATCAATGACTCAATTCCGCGCTTTGGGTGGGTGTCAGTTCTGACATTTGTGTAATATTACTGATGCCTGTTTTTCTTAGAGTTCTGACCCGCAACATACGGGAGCGAAGAGGTTCGAAGGTCGTCATCAATGTGCCAAGTAATTAAGCTTGTTTGCGCCCGTGCTTTCATTATTATTCATGTTACATTGGAATTGGGAACGTTTTTTATTCAACGCAAGGTCTCCTGTACAGCCGGTTTTTTTGCGATTCAATGTGTTTTTTTATTAAGTAATACGTGCTAATACTTCTTTTTTGACAACTTTCAAGTTTTCCATGATAACAGCACACCGAAACCGTTTTTCGAAGACTTCTCCGCTCTTCATGATCTGAATGATATTTCGACTTCTGATGCTCTTCCTGATCATGTATATATGGACGCCATGGGCTTTGGCATGGGGTGCTGTTGTCTTCAAGTTACTTTCCAAGTAGGTTTCGTGACTCTTCCGTTATGCTGATCACTACCTTAAGACCCTTAAAGATAAATTACTCTTGATCTTTCCTGGTCTCGATTTCTAAAAAAATAGGGCTGTTGTATATCAGAGGCGCGCATGTTGTATGACCAGTTGACCACAATATGCCCTATGATGATGGCCTTAAGCGCAGCGACGCCAGCCATTAAAGGCTACCTTCTTGACACGGATTGCCGCTGGGATATCGTTTCTGCCTCCGTGGATGATCGTACAGAGGAAGAGCGTGGGCTCAAAGTAGTTTTTTATTACTCATCGAACTTTTTTTATTCACTTTGTTTGGTCAATCTAACTATATCTGCTCTTTGTCTTTTTTGTCTTATTATGCATCATTAGCTTTACTCGGATTTTTACTCCTTACATTGAAGTAATAAGTTCATTTTCTTAAAAGGTTAGTAATTTTCCTTCTAGCCACTGAAACACGATAAGTTCAGGATTCAGAAATCAAGGTACGGCTCTGTATCAGCGTATATTTCGCCTGAAGGCGGCTGCTACAACGACACTACCATTCCATATGATTGCGAGATCTACGCTGAACTGGAAGCTGCTGGTAACTTCTCCAGCACATTATTGTTTGCGTTCAGTGCCTGTGTTTCCTGCTATAATCAAGCATTTATTGTTGTTTGGAATGGTCAGAAAGTATAGTTCAACTTGAAATTGCCTTGCGTGCCTGAGTGGTCTGTCTCCTGTGTCTTTTCGAAGTCTCGTTTGCGTTTGCACATTTTCCGTCTGTTCTCTACAGCCTCACAGGTTCTCGTACCAAAGTTAAATGCTGTCTTTAATCTCCTCATCTGCGGCGTTGACTCTTAAGCGGTACTTGCTTTTGAACTGTAGGAATTGACGATGTCTTGGCCCGGCACATCGCCCACCTTTTTATTCGCGATCCAATTGCACTGTATGCCGAAAGACTTCAATGTCACGATGAAGATGATACTGATCATTTTGAGGTAGCTTTTTAGATTTCCAAAATATGCTTTTGTCCTCTGTTATTGCCTGGTTTAGTTAACACTTCTGGCATTGTCTAGTGTATTGGGCCTAGTCTTAAGGCGATTCTCGGACAGGATCGTGTCAAGTCGTCGTGCCTGCTACGGAAAGGCATGTTAGGGAATTGTTAATTTGAATATACCAACGTTGGCCCACACGTAGTTTGCAAAGGAATGTTTTATTTTGGCGCAAATCGTTTTTGAAGGCATGGTTGCTGATAGCGGCGTTTTAACAACTGATTTCGATAAAGATTTTGCTACGGAAGCTTCATTTCAATAATTTTTATCTTGCAAGGTACCGAAGGGATGTATAACGTAACCTTACCATATATTGCTAGCGATAATCGGTGTTTTTGTATTTTTTTTTTTTTTGGTTTTGGATGCTTTAAGAACATCCAGTCCACCAATTGGCAATCAATGCGGTTCAAACCACCTCCTCCCGGTACTGATATCGGTTGGCGGGTCGAATTCCGTCCCATGGAAGTTCAGTTGACAGATTTCGAGAACGCAGCATTTGCAACCTTTGTGGTGCTACTTACTCGCACTATTCTTTCGCTCAAGCTTAACTTCCTTATTCCGATCTCCAAGGTGGAGGAGAACATGAAGAATGCTGTCAAGCGTGATGCCGTAAATCGGGAGAGGTTCCATTTCAGACGCGGCGACCTTATTTTTTATGGTTAGTTCTCTAACTGTGGGTTGTTTGCGGCTGGAGCCTCCTTGTAACCTTTGCGATTCGGGATTTGTGATCAAATATAAGGCGGTATTATGCCTTTAAATTATCATTAGTTTTTTTTACTAATTGACTTCAAAATGTGCGCGAAATTGCAAGGCTTATGGTGTTAATATGTTCACTTGTGTTAACGGTCTTGACATATTTCATGTGAGCCCACAGGTATTGTGGTGCCTGTAGCAGTGGTGCGCATACAGTAAGCAGACAGTCTGATGAAGGGTCGCGGTGCTCTAAGGTGTCGCCATGCTCCCAAAATAAACTTTGGTTCAAATAAAGCTCATTGAAACTCATTGCGCTAATTACATCATTGTTTGCTTAAGACATACTTACATGAACAGATGTTTAAATATGCCAACTATACTTGTGCCCCTTCTGCGTTAAGCACAGTTTTAGGGCGATTTCGCGGTATCATCTGGGTTGATTTTGAAACATGTGCGAACAAATCTTAAATCTAACTATAAATAGTTATGCTTCATAGTTTTCAACTCATCAAGAGATTTTTGCTTTTTTGATACAGATTCATTTCTCTAGATTCTCCTTTTCCATTTTCTGACTGCTTTAATGAGCAACATTAAGGCAACTCTAGCACTTGCTGAAGTAACTGTCCTTTTCCTTTCAATGACAGACCGACAGTCAGTTCGTTTACATGACCTAACTTTAGGCTGAATAACTTATTTGATAGTTTGAGACCGGTCGCTGCTTCTTGTGCTTAGCTATTTGAACACGTCATTATTTTTGGTTACTGTTTAGTTAAGTGCTTATTTAACCTCGGATCCCGCTTTGTTACATTTAAAAATTTGGTTCGACTCCGTTGTTTAGTCTCATGCAATTGCTGGATAGCAAGATGTTTTATTTTTGGTGCACCCAAGTCAACTCCGTTGGCTTTCTAAGCCTGACTTTTGTAATGAATATTATATCCTTTCCATGACAATCTTGACTCCGTTCTGACTACTCCCCCATGAACATGCTTATTTGTATGAGCCTTTCTAGGCATTTGTGTACACGATATACAGAGTAATATGGAAGCGGCAAAAGGTAGTTCTTATTAACGGTTCGAGGACTAGGCCAAGTTGGCACCTCACGTATGGCATTCAAATCGAATTTCTGACTCATCTACAAGGCATATTTAAGGCCACTAATATGTATTCCAGGTATGCTTTCATCTCTTCTTGAACTCAACTTTTTCTGTTATTAAACATCATTTGGTAGATATTGTATGGTTTGATTTTTGCTTTATGCCGTATTGCGTTCTCGTTCTTCGTTTAATTGTTATCAAAAAATTATCTATTCGCATTTTAGGCTGGCACTTCACCATTGACTCGTGTCCTCAACTCTTTTCAACCTGCTTTTTTGCTTTTGTAACTTGAGGCATTCGCTCCAATTGACAATCCGTCTACCAAATGTGATCTTGTTTAACCCGATAAACTTTTAGATTCTTCGTAAACTCAAAAACTCAACACTGAACATGTGCAGCTAAACACGCAAGCAATCGTCACTGAATTATTTCCTATCCATCTTTTGACTTGCTGTGGTGAACTCCAAACATTGTGCAGAAAGGAACTGAGATCAAATTAGGGTGAGGCTTAGATCATGGGCAATACTGTATTATTTTATCTGGGTCTTTACTTGACTTCTATGTCATGCTGAACATTTTTTTGTCCCAAAATGCATTGTCCAACGTGGGCTGGGATCATAAGAAAGTGCTATTACACGAATTTCTGGTATTCATAATAAAGGCGGGATAATTTTTTTGTTGCTTTCCCCAACTTTGCCGGTTTTACTGTTCGCGTTGCCAGTCTCAGCATTGTCCATCAGGCTTGTCTTTAGTGACATAAGTCTTCGGTTCTTTAGGTTATTGCTTTTGAATTTTGGCATCTTACCCTAGATACAGTAATTTGTCCTCTGTTACCCCTTTCTCAAGGCAAAACGAAGGAAGCGGCTGTTGAGGCCTGCCGCCGTATTCGGCGTTCGCAGAACTTTAGTGAGGACCACATTGCCGGAGACTTTTTGAGCTCCAGCTGCTCCTCTCAAGCTTCTAATGGTGATCTGTTTGATTCTCATATGGATGCTGCCGGTGGTATTCCGAGCGAGTGTGCATCCACATGCTCGGTCGAGCCGGACGCGAGCTACACCACTATGACCATCAATGAAATCATCAATGGAAGTGTGAGTTCTGCTCATGACTTGGGCGAACACTTAGAGCATGCGTCTAAGTCCTAGTGTAGAAGCTTCTCGAGTGTGTGTAGGTATGTTATGTGTGTGTATGTTATGCCACTGGTACTTCAGCCTTACCTCATTGTAGCTGTCACCTTCGAGTCTTCATTTTGGACGGCTATATTTTATATTACCTAATCCCATTATTTGTATTCAGTTGCCTATCATTTAAAGCAATGTTATGAATTGACGTATCACTGGCCATTTATTTATGATGAAATTGGTAGGAAACTTTTCCCGGCTTGATCTCGCTAATTCGACAATACCTCAGCATGATCGAACTTGATCCAAACACTGCTTTCTCCATCCACCAATATTTGAGTCTAATCTCACGCAGAGCTTCAGGTTAGTCTTTTTTTATTCCCATGAAACCTCTGTTTTCCAAATTGGCGTCTAATAATCACAGTCAATGGTGTAAACCTGATCTCGGTCTTGCGTGAATAGCGGTAACTGTGTACACTTTCATTCGATGGGATTATGATGTTTGATAGAGGACGATCATTGGCAAGTATCGTAAGTATGTCATGGGAGGGTTTGTATTTTCGACATAAGGCAGAGATGGAGTCCACGTGATTTACCACAATAGGCGAGTTGCCAACGACGGCGCGGTGGTTGCGTTACCTAATCCAACGTCACCCGGACTATCGTGGCGACTCGGTGGTGTCGGTACGCATAACAAACGATCTAGTGGCAGAGTGTCTGGCGGTGTCACGAGGTGAGGCGAACAAAACGGAAATGTTACTGCATGGTATGACGTCGTCGCGCACTCGCAGTCGTCCCTCACAAGCAGCTCTAGCTGCGGAGACCTCACTTAATATGAAGCGCGGCGAACAAGGCAGTCGAAACTCCACCAACCTCGCCTATGCTTCCGTTGGCTGTTCTTACGGCCATTATTGAACTTCACTCTAATTGAGGCTGCTAAACTCTGTCATTCTTCATTCCCTAGCTTTCTCTCGTTGTACCTTTTAACATATAATCCTACCGGGGGTGTTAATTTCTACTGTAACGTGGACTTCTTGAGGCACGCAAAGGAGTTTCCTCGGCGGTGCTGAAATTCTTGCCTTCCATTCAAATTTTTAAATACGACTATTGAGACATCGTTTTGTCGTTTTTTTCTCTGAGAAGTAATGCGTCCACGGGTGTGAGGTGCATTGTCCTCTTTTTTTATTTTCCAAATTCAGATAAAGGTTGTAATTAGATTCTAAAATTGTGGTAAGTTCCCGATTCTACTCAATAATCATCATCGGGAGTTATAGTTCGTGGGATTCGACGCGGACGTGCGCGGCTTAATCGTTTCCGTAGCAGGCACAGGAGGAAACTTGTGGCATAATTGTTTTAGTCGGAAATTGTGGACCAGGAAACCGGAGAAGTTCCTACTAAGAATTCCTGACGTGCTAGTAGTACGATTCCCTGTCGCTTCATGTAGTAAATGGCAAATGCAGATGGATTTTTTATGCAGCTACTTAAATGGACGGACTGTTTGGCTTTCATGTCATTTTCCGTTGGTGCTAGATGTCTGGAAGCATTGTTCCACGGCCAAGGCATCAAAACCGATCTGTTGGTCAATACCAAACATCACGGAAACAAGCGTCCATCTGTACGCGAGATGATGCAGTTGTTCATTTCGTTATATTGATAGCAAACAATCCTAGATAAATTGGCCTCATACTACTTTGCCTTAACTTAAATGTAAAAATGAAACTATTATAGAAGAATCCTTACAATTAAGATGAATACCAAAACTACTGAGAGCCATAAAAATTATCGAATAACCAAAGTATTGTACAGTCCTTTTCTTATTTTAAGCAACATTCTCACTGCTCCCTATAGCGCACCTGTGCTGGTCATCACAAAATATTCGGTGCTAAGGCAAAACATCCGCGAGCCAGCCACGGTAACCATTAGATTAAGGAATGGAGCTTGAAATAGATTTAGTTGAGAGAGGCAATCAGGACACATATTTCTGTTTAACCTCAATTGTGTTCTTAGAACAATGCGTAATAAGGGAAGCAGAATAAAACACAGTCCAGCATGGGGGGAAATTTCACACAATGACATTGACGACATTTACCCACGAATGCGGTAATTGCAACTCCAAAACAAATCTTTCCAAGACAGTACACTGTAGAGGCAATACTTTGTTTATGTGACCGCCTGACGTCTGGCGGTTACTTTAAAATTAAACTAACGCCTGGTTTCGGGTCAGGGTCAGGTCTAATTACCTTGGTCCCCTTGGATGCATGTAATCAGCTACTCTTTGTGCCTTCTTCTACGCGGTGGGAAGTGCCGGAACCCTACGCCGGTGGCAGCACCTACCGTTTGTGGCATGTACCTACTGTGTGGAGGAGGCGCTTTTACATCGGTGACAGGCAAACATCTGATCCCTTCGCAA